TATTCCAGTACATAGTTACCAGTATATATTTGATTAGATATGAAACAGACACGCGCTGAGGAAAACATTGGGTGACATCACGTGCCAAGTCATCGCTCAAGTGGAAACCAAATAAGAAATGAAGTGTTCAGCTCTCGTCTTAGGCTAACATGAAGGACGTCGTGTGATGAGGAGATGAAAGCTTATGGATGATTGTGAAGCTAGACAGTGTGATGCGGAAATGGGCTGTTGAAATGTGCCCTTTGTTCCCCTAGTTGCTCAAGGGAATAATAGTACAAAATAAATAAATAATTGAATTTATCTGTAAAATATAAATACGATTAGACAGTTGCTTCGGGAAATGATTTGGCGTGAAGAAATATTTTGCTCCGCTATGAGTTCCTTTATTTGTAAGTGACTCATTATGTGAGAATTTTATATAACCAGTTCCTGTGATTAATTTGAACACAAAGAGAGAGAAGGAGAGAGAGAGAGACAGAGAACACATTTACAGGATTACAAGTGCTCACGTGTTTTTTCTCTTACTACTTCTCATCAGCTGACAATAGTCTAAATATGACATAAGTTATTATAAACGCAAAAAAATTATACGTAACATGCTTCGAAAACTATTTCACCTCGAAAGGCAATGGTGTGGAACAATAGGTATGGAAAGAAGATATAAAAAAGGACATTTCCAGCTGCTAGATTGATTCATATTTTTATCAAGGGAAATAACAATCAATATATAAAGAAAAGTCTGGCTAATTCATTCCACAGAAGCTAATGCTTTCAAACGATTCCAGCTTGACTTATGTATACAGAGGGAGAGAGAGTGCGACTAATATCGCGCTAACCTGGTTACTAGATGTGTGTATTATGTTTCTGTGTTTATGTTGAGTCAGTGATAGGATCCCACACACTTGTTATTGTTCAATTATCTTAACGACTGTTAATCTCGTATAAGTTGTATATCATCAATTCTCACACACTTTGCTATTGTCAATTATCTTAATGACTGTTAATCTCGCATATGTGTTATATTATCATTTCCCAGGCACTTTGTTATTGTTCAGTTATCTTAATGACTGTTAATCTCGCATATGTGGTATATCATCATTCCCACGCATTTTGTTATTGACTATTACGACCAATTATTTCAAATACTGTTAGCTGTCTCTATTGGTTGTAAAATTGTATAAATACCATTTCCTAAATAAGTTTATTTGTCGTTGTTGTAGTCGTCGTCGTAGTCATAGTTGTTGTACTACAATACACAGTCAGAGACCAGACTTTGTCTTTTGATATTTGCGTGGTTCGCTGAATCGGAAGGTACCAGAAGCAGATAGGCATATTAGTCAGGCGCCGACAGAACAAGGCGACAACGTACCTCATTTAAATTCCCGCTACAGTTACAACAAACTGGCGACGCGGTTTATCTCAATTCATTACGGTTATAACAATTGGCGACGGGGTTTTATTTTCATTCATTGCAGTTATAACAAGCAAGCGACGACGTGTTTTATTCTGTTCAGCGCAACTATAGAACATTTTTGACTGTGTTAATTTAAACCCAATTACAATGTCTATCTCTCTGGACGATCTCAAATCCATCTTGCAGCAGCAGCAACTTCAGAATGAAGCAGCTCAACTTAAATTAATCGAAGCTCTCACTCAGAAGCTGTCAATTCAAGTTCCATCAACATCTCATTCAGACAAATACGAAAGCATCTCAAATTCCATCAGTGAGTTCAACTACGACCCAATATCTGGTCTCGTATTTGATGCATGGTTCAATCGTTATGAAGACGTTTTTCGTATTGAATGCCACATGTTTGATGATGCTGCCAAAGTCCGATTGTTACTACGAAAACTTGGTACTGTTGAGCACAACAGATATGTTAACTTCATTTTGCCTAAGAACCCACGTGAATTATCATTCGATGAGACAGTCACCGTTTTATCACAAATCTTTGGCGAACAGTCATCCATGTTTAATATTCGGTATCAATGTTTTCAGTTGACAAAAATGCCTTCCGATGATTATGTTACTTACGCTGGCAAAGTGAACAAAGAATGCGAAAGGTTCAAACCACATGAAATGACATCAGATCAGTTCAAGTGTTTGATTTTTATTTGTGGGTTGAAGAACCCAGAAGATACTGACATAAGAACTCGACTTCTGTCACTCGTGGAACAAGACCCAAAAATGACTTTACAAATGGTGACAGCAGAATGCCAACGCTTAATCAACTTGAAGCATGATACTGCTATGTTGGAGTGCAAACGACAGTCGTCTGAATTTGATTCAGTTAACACAGTGAAAAGTCCTCCGATCACCGTTAAGCACACAGCACGTCAGTCTCAGAATTCAGCTAAACCTCCTTCAGTGTGCTGGCACTGTGGTTCGTGGCATTTTGTCAAGTTCTGTCCTTTCAAGAAACATAAATGCCGTAATTGTCACCGTTTTGGACATAAAGAGGGTTACTGTCCACCACAGAAAAATTCTTCGGTGAAGAACAGAAGTAGTCGTTTCAAGCCAAAACAGTCTCCTCGAGTACAGACTATTTTCACAACTTCCAAAGTCGATTTCGCCAGCAAACGTAAGTACATTACACTACGTATTAACGGCAAATCTATTCGTCTTCAGTTGGATACGGCACCAGATATCACCTTAATTTCCCGAACTACGTGGCGCAAACTTGGTTGCCCACAGATTCTGCCGACCGAGCATGTCGCTAAGAATGCTTCTGGAGACATAATGAAACTCGTCGGTGAGATAAAGTGCCAGATTCAGTTTGGTGAGCAACAGTTCAATGGTGTATGTTATGTCACAAACTACCATGATTTGAATTTGCTTGGTCTTGACTGGTTAGACAAGCTCCATTTCTTCAATGTACCATTAAATTCAGTATGCTCTAATGTTTTGTCCTCACCAAATAATGTTGTTCCCGCACATGTATCTGATCAGTCTCTCTTGCAACGCCTACGTCAAAAGCACGCCTCTGTTTTCCAGGACAAACTTGGTTGCTGCAAATTTACCAAAGTACTTATGCAAAACCGAAGGGGGAGGGAACAACAGAAGAAATTTTGCACAGATTCTCACTGCATTATCGTACGACGCCAAATCCTCCCGCAGCCGGAAGCCCGGGACGCAGATCACAATCTATCCAGTACGCGAAAGTCAACTCGACAAAGAAGAGCTCCAAAACCTTTTCAAATAGGTCCAAAAAGCAAGTCCTACACTTTTAACGGGGGGAGGTGATAGGATCCCACACACTTGTTATTGTTCAATTATCTTAACGACTGTTAATCTCGTATAAGTTGTATATCATCAATTCTCACACACTTTGCTATTGTCAATTATCTTAATGACTGTTAATCTCGCATATGTGTTATATTATCATTTCCCAGGCACTTTGTTATTGTTCAGTTATCTTAATGACTGTTAATCTCGCATATGTGGTATATCATCATTCCCACGCATTTTGTTATTGACTATTACGACCAATTATTTCAAATACTGTTAGCTGTCTCTATTGGTTGTAAAATTGTATAAATACCATTTCCTAAATAAGTTTATTTGTCGTTGTTGTAGTCGTCGTCGTAGTCATAGTTGTTGTACTACAATACACAGTCAGAGACCAGACTTTGTCTTTTGATATTTGCGTGGTTCGCTGAATCGGAAGGTACCAGAAGCAGATAGGCATATTAGTCAGGCGCAGACAGAACAAGGCGACAACGTACCTCATTTTTAAATTCCCGCTACAGTTACAACAAACTGGCGACGCGGTTTATCTCAATTCATTACGGTTATAACAGTCAGTATATTTATTATGAATACAACTCACTAAGCTCAACTTATTATTCATTATGCCCTTTACTTAATTATTTGTTTACGTAATAATTTTAATTCTGTCCACTAATTCTTGCCGCTCCCACCCTCTCTATTCGCATGTTCCATCAAATTATGCATAAGTAAACTGTACTTGTCAGATTATTAACTATGCTTCATTTATATCCCTTTTTGAACACGAATTGACATGAGTTAGAGAACCACTGAGAAGAAGGGAGTACTGTTAGACAGATGTTTCGTCCTAGTTTTGGGCTCTTCAGGAGTACACAGCCACCATAAGACCTTCTGGTTACTAGGCAAGCTTGTAAACCATCTAGTCACTCGGAACCGACTCAGTAGTAAGCCGGTGAATTCTAATCTCTAACAATTTCTGATTTTAACGGGACTACCAGTCATCATTGAGTGCTTGTGTCCTCTGTCGAACGGATAGATCCTATTGGTCATGACTTCTCACTAGAATTCTAGTCAACTTCGTCTTTTAGCCAGTCACTAGAGAACAGTAAGTTCATTTTCAAGAGTAAGTTTGTAGGAATCTGATTTGTATTCAGGTTTCCCATGGATTGATTTCAATAAGACTACCTAACTATTTTTCCCCAACTATGCGCTTTAATTTGAAATACTTTTTGAATTTTCTATTTTGTATTAATTTATGTAATTTTTAGCCTATTGACAGCTGATGAAAAACCAAAGAAAACATTAAATTTGTGGATGGTGACTAGCAGTGGAATACAGGATGTCCATTTCGTCCTGTTTAGGACTCGTCATCCGGATGTACCTGCATTTCTCAGTGAGTGATGATGTTCATTTTTAAAAACCGAGCTCTTTTTATCCTGCTTATATATGCATTGTCTCTGTGCTCAATATTAAGGGTTTTCTGCCCACCGCATAATCGAAGAGTAACATTCTAGTAGCTGCAGCCATTTGTTTTTATCAGTATAACGTTGTAATCGATTATCATGAAGTGAATTAGTAAACACAGGTGATATCTGAACCTGATAACCAGTTTAATAATGGAACGTTTGCCTGATAATATGAATTTAGGCTTAGAGATTAGGAGAAACGTTTGCACTTCTACACTCATACACACAAACACACGTGTAGGAAAACAGAATGTCAGACGAATTACATTACAATAAGAAAGGCAGTAGCAGGTTTAAGGACTTACCGAATAATATTATAGTCTAAAGAATCTAAATCCTCAGCCAATGGTAATGGGAGACGTGATCCAATGTGTATTCCTTCAGAAATATGTATTGTATGCAAAGAATTTGGGAATTTCGGGGGATTATCATTGATATCAATTAATTTAATCTGGAGTGTAAAAAATTTTGAGCGTAAACTATTTATACTCTGCTACTAGTAGTACTTGTAGTATTACTAAGAGTAGTATCTGTACCAATGATACCAGTGATATCTTCTTTGCTAACACCTGTCTGTACAAGTATATTCAGGGGAAATATACACTCCTTCATACGATTTATACAACAGACTCTCAGTGAATCTAAAGATGTAGTCAGTTGGGTGTCTGTAACAGAATTACTACTGCATAATTCCTCTCTGTCAACATGTTGTACGGTCATTAGAGTATAATTATTTGTATCAATTTTTAAATATTTCGCCAACGGGTTAGCTGTTGTGATAACTTTTATATTAAATAATTGAATTTTTTGTAGTTTTAATTGTATAATTTGTTGCCTAGACAACAGTTGACATGTATTTGTGGTTATCTCATCTAGGAGTATCCTATTGGCTGGTGTTTCATCATAGACAAGACAATGATAACTGATTTGAGTCAATTCACTGCCTTCCATTGTAGCTATTGTAGCTTTCAGTGCTGCTGCTTCTGGCGTCTTTCCACTTGACTCCAATATCTGTCGGCGTAAACGACTGATAAGAGGAGAGTGTAACAGTCTTATCGAGGTATTATGATCATTGGTGATATTCGTCGACTGAATTAATTTTAAAATCCAAGTATTATACAATATAAATAATTGACATGAATAATATACTAAAAGGCGGATTTGACAGCTATTTCCAATTTTATTGAATCCCATGTTATTAATGCTGTGATAATTATATGACACCTTATTAGAGAGATAATGCCATTCTTAAGAGTTTTGTCGACGCTGATAATGCTGACGAGGATTTGTTGCATGCAAAAATGTCGGTAATTCCACTGAAATCATTTTGGTCAATTTTTTCCCCAACTGGCCACAATACCTCCTGTGATGAATTTCTAATCCCATGTAATGATAATCTTACTACTACTGGTAGTAAAAGGCTAAACGGTATTTTGGGTGTACACATACAAGGTTGGTTTGTTGATGACAGATATTTCATTACGTATGTACGTCTCTGTTCATGTGTTCCGCGTGTGCATATTTGTGCATATTTGTGTGTGGGTGTGTAATTGCGTGTCACACAGGGAAGAACAGCACCATCCTTCTTCTAAAGTCATTCTTCTTATTATTATTTTCAAAATGTACTACAAATATCTGTCTGTCTCCTTGTATATGCGTGTATATGTGTCTGCACATGTCAAGGTATATACATCAGCATAAAGATAGACACACGACGCACACACACACACATACACTCAAGGAAAGAATACAGACAGGCGCACATGATCTTTACAAAATATGTGATACTTCAATGCTGCTTACGATAGTAGACACACACCCACATATGCACATACATGCATACATACATACATGTGCACAGAAATAGAGACATCATGATTTTTGTCGTCGTCGTCCTTTTTGTCTCGTCAGTTGTTATCGTCGTCATCAAGTATTTTTTTTGGGGAAAAATTTTTATCGTCACCATCTCTCTCGCTGATCTCATCATCAGCATCAACTGTTTTGTAATTGATTGGCTTATGCTTCACTTCATCTTTGAATGCACGTGTGTCTGTGTGTGTGCATATCTTGTATGTAAAGCGATACTTTAGAAGACAATGAAAGAGGAAATACTGACTTCCGACAGTATGAAGGAATGGAGTGATGGTGGGTGGGGGATTAAAAATAGTTGACCTTTCTCTTCCCAATTCCATCCACATCTCACTTTCTCGCCACATGCAAATGCATACATACAAACATACATACATACGCTACACCTCTATACACGTATCTTTAAGTAACCACTACTAATCACAATTGCCTGCTATTGCGTTAATTGTATGGGATAACTATCAATAGGTAGACAGACAGGCGGAGGTGCGTGTGTGTCTGTCTACACACGTGTTGTATAGAATTGAATGACTATGACATTTTTGATTGGATGATTCATCAATACAATTCAAGGGACAGTTTTATTTTTATATATGTACATCAGTTCACATGAGAATCACATTTTTACAGTGAAAATATTAATTACAGGTCTGTTGACTAGCTGACATCAGTTAGAGAAACATTAGAAAACCTGGGAGTACTGAAGAGCTGTTTCGTCCCGGTTTGAGAGTCTTCAAAAGTACACACCCACTGGGGATCGAACTAAGGACCTTCTGGTTACTGAGCGAACTCAGAACCGAGCCAATGGCCCATGAATTCCAAATTCTATATGTTATGAATTAGCAGAAGTTGAAATTCATGGAGCATTGGATTGGGTCCCAGTGGCTGGATGGTCAACGTGCTCACCTTGTAAAGGGAAGGTCCTGTGTTGGGACCCTGGAGGCTGCTTACTGCCTATGTGCCCCAAAACTAGGATGAAACAGCTGCCTGGCAGTACCCCCTGGTTTTCAATAGTTCTCTAACTCATATCAATCCATGATCAACCTGGAAATAAATCAAGTGCCCATAAACAAACTATTGGGAAAAAAAGAATTATCCTATCTAACTTGAAAACACTAACAAACTAAACATTTTATTCCGGTAATTTCATCTTGAAGAGCAGCACAATTGTACGTATATATATAATATATATATAACTTTATATAGATGCAATTATTTGGTGATATTAGATGGTTACAGGCAATCGGCAGGAAGTCCCGCTTGACCTAGGTTTCGTGCTAGTTGCCAATGATCACCAAGAACAACCAGCACCACTCACCGTCAACGGGAGAGACTTGCCAGAAGTTACTTGCTTCAGTTATCTAGGAAGCATCGCTTCAACCACAAGCGAAACGGATGAAGATGCAAAACCCAGGATCGGAAAGGCCAGATACGCATTCATCAACCTGAAACTAGTTTGGAAATCTTCTGCACTCAGCCAGCATAAAGAACAAGATTCAGATTTCCAACACAAATGTGAAGTTAGTCAGTGATTCTAAATAGGTCATAAACCTGGCGCACACACCATGAAAAGCATTTCCGATAAGCTACTGCAGACTCTTATCAACAGCTGCCCCCTTCGCTACCTCCATACTGAAGATCAAATGGCCAGGAATAATCAGTAACAAGAAACTGTTCAGTGGAACAAAACAACCAAGAGACGATTGCTCAACAAATATGTAGGAGAAAGTGGAGATGGATCGGGTATATATTGACGAAGCCATCAAATGACATCGCGCTGAATGCAGGCGAATTGGAAGCGACGAGCGGTTCGTTGGTGTGAGGATGACGTGGAGGAGATGAGAAATTATGGTCAGCCGTGGACCCAGTTGAAGAGGACGGCAGAAAATAGGACAAATTGAAAATGTGTTATTGAAGCCCAATGTCAAGGAACTTAGCCTTAAGTTCCTATTGTAACGAAGACGCTTTGAACCGATAATGACTATGCATTTTCTCGACTTTAAATCCAAAACACCAGTATTCTTTGAACGAATTTATATTGTTTGGCAATTAAAGCAATATGAATACAAAGTCTACAAACAAATGTTTAGTACAAATGAAGTTATAAAGTACTTCTTCTGCCGTCTTCAAACTTGCACGCGATCGGACCATTCGCGCCTTCGAGTTGCCCACCAATGGCTGCCAGTTGCAATAAACAAACGTTCAGTGTTCACGTTCATTGACAACCTATGTTCCACTCTGAACGCAAGGGAATAATAATATTATAGTGATACAGATATATGGACGACATGAGTCTAAGCATCAGAATACTAACCTTTTATCTGAAAGATTTGTTACTGAAATGCCTGTTTGATGTACAATTAATCTTAAACGACGCTATCTACAAATGGATAGATGGAGTTGTCATATGCTCTACACTTGGCCCACTTTTGAAAGACTCCTTTATGACCAGTTTAAAAAAAGGATCTTAAAGTCAACAATAGACAAATTATTGCTGTGCAAAAAGTATGTCCAGGGCACTTTTATAGTTTGTCATGATGATTTCAATTTCACTTGTATCTTACAAGAGTATAATAATTGCCTTCCTTCAGTTCAATTCACAGAGAAATTACAAAATGAATCAAAGATTCCAACTGTGTACTTAGAATTGACAAGAAGACAAGATGGAGCTCTGATCTGCTGACATAAAACAATCATGGAATGACCTACTGATAAACTTCTGTGGTTAGATGCGTGTGAGTTGAAAGAGAACCCTCATCATTTCACTGACCCTACCATACCAAAAGAATTTATAGCACTCAATGCTTAGGAAAAGAACTTTCATTTCTCAACCATATCCTGATTCACAATGGATACCTGGCACATTTTGTGGAGAACATGAAACCAAAGCGACAAAGAGAAGAATGCAGTTCAGTTGCAAAGGAAATACTGTATGTGAATCTCGACTTCAGGGGAGACTTGGCGGTAGTTATCCTAAAGAGGGGAATCTTCCGTTCCCTAAAGAAGACCTTTTCTACAGCAGCAATAAGAGTGATATTCTCTAGCCGCCCACCACCTCTAAGCAGTGTGAATGACAAAATCCCCATCAAACCTTTCAAATGTGCATAAATCAATTCACCTGCCCTTGTGGACCTAGGTACATAGGTCGGTCTATGAGATATCTTTCAAAACGCGTTAGAGAACATTGCACAGCGTGGCTACAGAGGGAGGCACTGGTTCAACTATAAGTGTCGTAATTCAACACCTCGTCAACACCTATCATAAGTACTCACTAATGACATCATTAACAACCTACCTATCAACCCAAGGCTTTATTAGGACATCTCTATTTTACTCTTTTTTCTGAAGTCTCTGTTAGTTGGTTTCATGATCGTCCATTTACTCTTCACATGATCTCCTCGATGTCACCTGTAGACGCACAACTCATCGTTTTCCAATCTGCGTCCACTTGAAGGTTGGACTGGTGAGGGATATCATTCAGTGGTCTCTTCAACTTATGTCCATATCATTTCCATTTCATTCTGCATATGTGTTGATGGAAACAGATTCTCAGTTGTCTCGATGTACTGTCAGAGCTCTTTGCTTCTTGTCTTTTCAAACCGATCATATGTTCTTCACTATGGCTCGAAAGTATCTGTTGATGAAAGTCCTAGTAGCGTGTTAGAAATGCTTTGGATAGCACGTGCATCAAGTCTTTGAACAATAATGAAGCATTGATCTGACACTGAGGTTGAAAATCCGGAACCTGCTCCATATGCTGGGTGTAGTTTAGTAGTTCAGTTTGGAAAGTTGTAGCAAATATGATGTCTGCTGTTTGTTTAATATTCTGAGCGATCTAGAAATATTGATAAAATGCCTCGAATCCAGGTGGTGTCTGTTAGCTACTCTTTGGGAATATCTGCTTCCGTTTAGTCATAAATTTCTTGGAATATGCTTAGAAGACACCCTGGATAGAAGCCGTTCTTTCTGTCTTTCCAATGTGCTCGCTACCACAAGTGAACGTATATTTATAAATGCAGTTGCACGTGATATCAACAGAGTACTTATCCAATTAAGGCTGGCTTATTGAGCATGTGGTGCTGTATAACAACACAGATCTGGGGTGCATAGAAACATCCTTTTACTGCTCCCGTTATTCTTTTGTCATTCCATTGGGATACTGCTTCTCTTTTGTATGGAAGAAGAATGAATCTAAATGTCAGTCTCCAGAAGATCACTGACTACAGGATGGCTCTCCTAAAGTTCTAATGAGAAACCATGGCTGATGGGGTCAAGCACGGCAGAAAGAAGGTTGATGCTGACTCTATGGACTGTGAAATGACAGAAATTATAAATCACTGGTTGTTGAATTCCCATTCAGTGTCTAAATAGTTGACAGACTCACCACGTGACCTGAAGCTCTTGGATGTGATCTTTAAGAGCAAAATCAGCGAAATGGTCATC